GCAACTGTTGCACAGTAATTTCTCTCGAGATAAATAAAGCTTCTTGAATCTGAATCTTGAATCTTGACATGAATTTCATGGTAATCTGTCCAATAGTTTGAGATTTCTAATTCAAAACCACAAATGTCAACCACATGGTAGTGCTAGAGACAAAGTCAGAGTTATGAGTCAATTATTAGGATTCATTATCTAGGAACCATTTATATTTGAAACTCCATGGCAATCCATTCAATAATTGTTGAGATATTTTAAGCGTGTATTTAGCCATATAACATTAATATAAAATTATATACAACTAACAAACACTGCAACTGCTACTGTTGGCCTCCGTTGGATGAAAAGAGGAATACAATAATTAATTAATTAATTAATTAATTAATACTGTTTGTATTTGGAAAGTACTGTCTTTCTGAGCTCAGTTTACTGTACTATTTCATGGTTTGTTCCACCAAAAACAAATGACCTACCTGTATACGAAGCATCAGATGGCGGTTTGCATGCTCCAGCTTCCTCTGTCTGCACTCAAGCTCCTTGGCTCTCTGCTGCTCCCGCTGTAGCCTCCTGATATAGTCCACTGAGGCTTTCAGAATGGTGCCCTTATTCCAGCGCATGTCTCTGGGGTATACAAGAGACAAAGGTCTACAGTCAGAGTCAGCTGACCAGCTGACCAGAACACCAGACCAACCCCTCTGTGCAAATAAGCCATTACACTAAGGACACTTGGACGTGTGAATAGGAGACAAAGTTAATGAATAGACAGACAGACAGACAGACAGACAGACAGACAGATAGATATCTAGCACATGCATTCATGAGCATAAATGCACACAAAAACACTTACGGATCATTTGACTTTGGTATCAAGGTTCCCAGCTCCTTGATGCGATCATTGATGTTAAATCTCCGTCTTCGTTCAACTAAAATGTTTGTCAAATAAAATATATACATATAAGTACAGCAGCCTAGTAAACCAGTGTTTGAAGGGTTAATAACAGGTCATATAATTAATGAACATACATTCAGATTTGACAAACATATAAACTTTTTGCTTAACAAATTAAAAATAAAATCACATTATTGTTTTCCCTTTTTTGTTCAATTATTCTGAACAATATGAAAACAACTGAAAAGAAATAACAAGCCAATAGAAGGAAAAGTCAAAAATGTAAAGTAAACAAATAAATACATTTTATATAACAATCACAAATACCTCTTAAACCTGTTAAGATGCCTGGTCTCTCAGACAGAGCTACACTGAAAATGAAAAACTAAATCTATTTTGATAAACTCACTTAAGTTGTGGTTGTCTTTCTTCTGTCTCTCTTTAGCAAGAGCACGAACCTCAGCCTCTGTGGAGCAAAGAGAAACGTGAGTGTCATTGAGAAAGTGACATAATTCAAATAAATGGTTCATAAGACATTGAGTCCATAAAATGAATAGAATTACACATTAGTATTGCACATACTGTACAGTAAATCAATAAAAACTACTTTGTCTGCTAGCACATTTGTGTATATGAAATAATTGACATGTTTTGTGGACTACAGTATGAAATAAACCTATAATCACGTTCATATTGTGTGCGATTTAGTCATACACAAAATGTTTTATATAAAGTTTCAGAAAATATGATTGAAAACAGCTTTTATAGTTTACAAAAAATCATCTTTTTCACTTTATTTTGCTTTGCTTACCTACTGGAAAGCCCTCTGGCCTTTGAAAGCTTTCATACTGGCCACAGGATCCCGGCTTGTCCAGTACTTGCTTCATGCCAGGAGCTAGAGTAATTATTTGGCAAATAATTGACTTAATAGTAACTTGTGCATTTCCAAATTGCACACAATATTAACATTTGGCCTACAGTCATGCGCTCACCTCCTACATACTAAAGGAGGTGAGCTGATTTTCTTCTTGATTAGGATTAAGTCATAATAAACAAGAGTTTGCAGTATAATTGCACAAATCAGATCTTAGGCAAACAGAAAACAATTCTCAGTGTGTATTTTAACCAGATTTGACTACAAGATGAAGTAAAGTTAATTTTGCCAAGACAAATATAATAATAATAATAATAATAATAATACTAAATCGACTGTCAAATGATTTCCAAGTTGGAATTTACAGCACTCACGTTGTCCATTCAATCCATACCCAAGTACAGTGAATGAACAGTAAAAAGAATAAACACTGATAATCTGGGATATTTATGAAAAATATGTTTTAATGTGTATTTTACCTGTGTATTCCCTCTTAATGTTGGGTGAACAGGAGTTGCTGATGCCAAGGCCAGGGAGTGGAAGTCCTGGGTTGTGGTACACATCGAGAAGGTTACCAGACACAGGGAGCTACAGAGTATTAAAGAAATGTCATTAAAATGCACACAACTGTCTTTCATATAAATTTAATTCAAAGACACAGGTATCAACAGTAATATTTCTTTATAAACATATAGTGAGTGCAAATGCATCCTTTTACAGTCATATTTACAATATATATCCTTTTAAAGAAGGGGGTATTACCTGGTTATTAATTTGAAGTCCTGGGTCCATAAGTCCAAGAACATCTTCATTGTAACTTGACTCCAAGCTAATAATATCATCAATGACATCATCCATCTGCATGACATAAAACCACATTTGATTAAATAATTACAGTTTATCAGAGTATCAGAATGTGATGAGATTAAAAGTTGTTTGGTAATGTGCATGTGTACCTCTTTCTCGCAGTTGGAGCTGAGGGTGAGCAGGGCCATGGGACTGTTGGGGGCACTGCTGCCGGGTCCGGGTGGCATGCCGTGCTCGGGGGGCTGGCTGGGGCACTGGCTGCCGGCTTTACCACCCAGGGTGGTGGACAGATACTGCCTCACCTGCTGCCTCTGAGCTTGCTGGATGTGGTACTTGGTGGGATTCTCCAGGTGGGACTGCACCTGCATGAGCAAGACATAAAAACATTTGAACCTGGGACTGTGGATTCATCTTTTACCAAGTCTAGTATATTTCAATATATATAAGCTTTTTGTATTGTAGATTAGAGAACAAGGATTACAGGTCACAAACAATGGCTAGTTCATAATAAAAATAAAAAATAAAAAAGGGCCAACAACAGTGATTTTAGAAGTAGGCCAAGCCATGATATTTTAAGGAAACATAGACTAGCAGTTTGTATTTTGATTGTAAATGCTGTCTGAATATGATGAATCTGTATCTGAATCAGAAATGCTATATTGATCCCCAGGAGGATATTTGGTATGGCAGTGTAATTCTAATAAGTAAAACCTTTAAGTTTTATGTTTGATCCTTCTATTTTAAGTGCAAATCATGATCTTAGTTTACAAGGTAACCAAAGGGAATCAAGTTGTACTGCTGTGTTGGAGTTAAATTACTAATCTCTATTACATTATGCCAATAAATGGACCTGAAAACATGTTTCTAGGCTGATTGCAGGCTTGCTTTGGATTACTTATTTTGTTTATGCTAAGTTGCAGAAATGTAGAAGTGTTTAAACACAACTCCTTCTCCTTACATTAGAACTGAAATATTGAAATTACACAGGAAATGAAGGACCCATCTCAAATATGCAGTGCAGATAATTTTGAGCATCAGTCACCCTGCCACTGGCCCATTTTATTTACCCGAGAAAACTCTTCACAGGAGGAATCAAGTGAAGCAGTGCCCTTGTCACATGAATGATGGAAGTTAAAAGTTCATGCAGTACCTCAAAAACTCATGCAGCAATTTAAAAACTAGTTTACATTCATTAGCTTTTGTAAGTTAGTGCTTAGTTCCTGTAGCATTCTAACAGTCTAAGATTGATAATGATACAGTACATCCTGTCAACATAAATACTATTTTGACCTCAAGAAAGAAATTTAAAATGAGCTTCATCCTCAGATTATTTTAGTACCTCTATTTTGTTTTTTTGGAACAATGATAAAGACAAAAAAACAAACAACCCCTCTCACCTGATAGTGGCTGTATTCAAGCATCTCCAACATGTTATTTGAGCAGTAATTGATCAAAATAATCTACGAACAGTATATAATCCCTTTATCTTGTTAGCCTACGCTGTGAACAGCAAGCTAGCATGTGCAAATCTGAGAGCAGGCACCAGTCCCTGCTTAATTTATCCAGGGCTTAAGGCTCATTAGTTATGCAAGTTAAGAAATGGAGGAGGACACAGAGACTCATCCTCCTACTGCTGTGTTGTTCCAGCTAAACTATGAATTTATGTCTTTATAGAGTCATTTGACGTCACCACCTCCAGCTCACAAAGGAGTCTTTTTACTGGTTGGCCAGTAGTCTGCGAACTGAAGAATGCTTAAGGCCAACTAACGTTTAATCTTTAGTTCTGCTCATCTAGTATAAAACATTATTTGTTCTGAACACCAGGAAAACAATTGACACCACTGTTTCACTACAAACTAGCCATATGAAATGTATGGTGTGTTTACCAACCCCATCCATTTTTCAGGATTTTTAGAGGTTAATTACATTCAACTGTCAATTGTTATGCAGTCACATTTGCAGGCCAAAGAAGGTGAACAGCTTGAGTTAGGGGAAATTTTTTCAGGCTGTAAACTGTAATAAACCTATTAAATTTGACTATCCAGCTATGTCTAGCCTTGGTCAGCTCTTTTCGAATTAGAAAGCAATTAATATAAACCCTGATATTAATAGAGATGGGTAGAAAGGGAGTTAGTCTCTTCCCAGGCCCCAAAAAAGCCTATGAAAAGCTTTTATAGGCTTTATTTTTTGTGAATCAGTTGATCATGGCACCATGTAGTCAGTGGTGCACTGCTAGGGGCCCAGAGGCTGTGGTGATTGACTTTTAAAAAATGTTATGGCCAGAGGTGCAATGGTGGAAACATGGTGGGATGATGATCCACCAAATTATATGGTTTCCTACAAAAGCAGTGTAACACAATGAAGGGCAAAGATTTGTCCTGAGTAAATCACAGCAAACTTTATTCCCAAAAAGAACTTTGGTTGGCTAAATTTCTACAAGCTAATACACAGTATGACACCTTGAATTAAGTAACCTTGGAAGAATATAATGAGCTGAATGGCCGAATGTAAAGAGTTTCAATGGCGTTAGGCAAAGAGAACACAACATAAGAGAACTGCATGGAGCAACACCTACTAATATACAGATATAATAATGCATGTGGTAATAGATGGTTCTACGTTGGCCATAATTCCACAAGCTTCTAGCTCCATGTGTCTGAACAGGGCAAAGAGCAAGGGGCAAAAGATAAAAAAGGCACCATTATCCAAAGTTTTTATTGAGTTTCTTTATTAAGAGCTTAAGAAGCAAAGAAGAATTAGCTAGAAAATCAATTTTCTGTTGCCAGGATTTATCCAGACAGATGAAGTGTTTTTTGGTACATTTAGATCATGCACCCTCTTAAAATGCACTGTAACACTATATTCATTGTATCATTATATGTGTGGCTTTACTGAATATGTTTGCCATTTGTGAAGTACAAGTAAAGGTTTACATTTCTTAGTGGAAAAAATCCCACATGAGCATTGAATTCTTTTTTTTTCTGTTTGTACCTTATACTGTACGATTGCTTCAACTGTTCAATCCTTTCCCAACTTTAACTTGAAAAAGGTCTTTGAGAAATTGTAAAAAAAAAAAATGTATTTATTGAAATTACATTTATAGTAAAAAATAATACAGTTATTTATATACATGCAAAATAATTTTGCTGTGCATTTCTTTAATTTGCGTCATTTGCGAATTTAAACAGCAGGAACAAGACAGTGATGATATTATGGTTTCATTTTCCCATTAATAGAAATAGTGTCCATCCACTTTGACTGCGTTTGAGCAACAGGCATCATGGATGTAAACACAGCCTCTTGTTCGGCGCTTTGTGGGTTTAAACACAGTCCGCCCGATCAGTGCTTGATCTGGGATGTTAACGGAGCAGGTCTCTGTAAAGATGTGGGCACAACTGTCTCTTTCCTCCTTGTTTGGCCAAGCTGGATTTCTTTGCATATAGAATGGATATTAGCCAGCCTTAAAAGTGTTCCAGAAATGGAATATAATTTTCATAGCTATGTTTTCATTAGTGTGTAATTGCCTAAATATTGGAATGAGCCGTTTTAAGCTACAGATTGCTTCCATGGAGTTCATCATGTTTCAGTAGCCCAGAATGGACAAACCAAAGAGTGTAGTAGCAGTAAATAGGGCATTTTTTTGTGAGTTTCGCAGAGACCGTTGTTTCTCCTACACACTTCACAGATGGTACAACCATGTTGTGAAATAGACACACTGGTCCTCCAAGTGTGAGATGGACCAGTAGGGCTCCTATCTCTTTCTCTCCTCCTGGGGTCGACTATAGCACCCACCGTGGAGGGCTGGTCCGGCTGATCTTGTTAGGTGGATCTTCTCAAAGTCCACCATTTCTTCTTCAAAATTGTATGCTTCTTTTTCTGATGACTTCAGGCTATTTCTGTCATAGATAATACTTGTTTCAGCAAAAAAGCCTAAAACAGATTAAAATAAAAACGGAGATGTTTGAAGGGGCTAGCCTCCCAGCATCTGCTGGCGCAGCCATTGCTGTAGTCAAAGTCCACTGATTCAGTTGTTTTTGAAGTTTTGGCTTAACGCTTAAAAATGAAATCAGCAATCAGCAAAAAATCGGGAAAAATGGCTGATGAAAACAAAAATGTAGGTTTTTTTTTTGTTTTTGTTCATCAAGCTCTTTCTCCATACAGAAATACAGTCAGTCCAGTGGATTTGGGAAAAAAGATTACGTTTACTCCAAACAATATTCAAAGCAAAAATTTGACTGTGTTGCCTTTCAGGATAATGGAAACTATCTGTCTGTTTGCAAACCACCACATATAATTTGTGTTCATTTGAAATGTTTATCTTGTTCATAATGACATATTTGTTGCAAGTCTCACAACATCATTAGATGATTAAGTTGTGTGTATTTTTTGGTGCCACCATCACAATGACTGCAGCTGTTTAGGCTGTAATTAATACTCATAAAATCAATTTGGGCTGTTAAATATATTGCCACAGTACTGCCAATTATTAACTGACAGTACATAAAATGTTTTGCTCCAAGAAGAACTGAAGCATTGATTATTTAAACTACTTCAACTTACATTTTGTCACTGTTGATGATGATGTGAATCTGATATTACAAGCTAAGCACACAGGGTAGAAAAAGTGAACGCACTGAACTGAAAGCTGATTTTATCCTTCTTTAATCATAATGTTGAATAGTAAACTATCACCAGAACATTTATCAAAGGAATAAGGCTGCTTATCAGGGCCCTCACGTGTGAAGAAGCACTATCTGTCGTGCAGCTAATTAATTCAAACGTCTGCTGCTGCATCTCGTGTAACGCTGCTGGAACACAGATCATCACGTCTTTGTCTGGATTATTGGAAACTCACTAGAAGCTGGAGAGGTGAACACAAACACAGGGGATGAGCCCCCTGGCTGCACGGAGCCTTATACGATAAAACAGAGAAAGCATTCTTTGTAAACTCATAGTAGAGCGTTTCTTTGTGGCCTTTTCCTTCAGCCAAACCTTTGGGTTGAGACGGAACTATTAACAAGGGATGTATTTCATTTATCCCTACAGCAAGCCGAGCTCTCACTTTATTTATAGTCTCTTTGTGAGACAGAGGTTTATTACCTTCTCAAGGAGAGCACATGGGTCCATGTTTTAGACTTATGCCTTGAGGACCAGTAACATTTTCACAGAAAGTCGTCACTCCTTGACCCCTGAAAAGAAACAGATCCATTCATATCTTGCAACCAGCTCTGCTCTGTTTCTTACTTCCTTGGCAACCAGCCACACTTGGGGGCATTTTGTCAAAGGAGGATGCTAAACATTTACTGTGTGCTAAAATTTAAGAAGATGGTTACAGTAGAGCTACTGACTACTGAGATCTTTC